TCGCGTTGGACAGGTGGTCGCTATATCCAGTGTCTTTAACGTGTAAATTGCGAAGGGACTGTACTAAGGTGGTCGCTATGAGCAGGTGGCCACTCTGCACGGGTGCTCTGAGCCAAACTGTCCTTTATAGACCATGGGTGGTCTTTAAAGTGTAGGTCAAGGTGGCAAAAATTGTGGGCTGTATAGATCTTAATAACCATTTCCAACAGCTTTGTATCCATGTTAATTTTTTCTCATTATTCTTGTGGTTGTGGGTGACTTTTCAACATGTCCTGAATTAGCCCATGGACGCCGTTCATGGAGATAAGAAACAACGAACAATAGCTAAGAATTAACATACTAACATACTACATCTGGGCATTTCTGTGACGTTTTAGGCTAGGTTCAATTGAGGGACAGCCATAGTGAATTCATTGAGTACTGCAGTGTGTGGTTTATATTTTTGAAGAGCGTTGTCGTTTCTCATGTTTTTTTAGCTCATTTGAGCATCCATAGTACAGTACTCATTTCGCCCAACCTCCTGCTAGCTCCCGCTTTCCAATCGCTTTTTTTTTTCGCTCGCTTTTGCGATCGCTAGTCGAATTCGACCAGACAATTTCCGCTTTATTTTCGAACGCGCAAACCCGGAAATATTGCTCGCATTTAAGATTCGGACTATCAACAAATTTCCGAGGTTCACATTGTCTTATTATTGTCTTTCTGGTTTTCATAGATGTTGAACAGGCAACAAAAGTTCAAATACTTTTTATTTTAACTATTTGTAATTATATGCACGCAATCTGACACTTTGACCTCGATTTGGCTGGGATTAAATATTTTATTTTAAACAATATTCTGACGTAAAATACAAAATGTGTTTCAACACAAGTACAACATGATTGTCTGGTGTTTCTTTCCTGATTGTTGAGTCTTCGTAATGTGTTTAAGACTTGTATAATTATTGTTGTTTTCCTCAAGGAGAAGGCAAGCTGAAGGACCAGGAAGCTAAATGGCAGTTCCATGCATGGACTGAGTGAAAGAAAAGCCTAAAATAAAAGCTAATATTACACCTCTTTGTGTATTTGTTAATTTTACATATGATTGTCATGACAGTATGTTTGTAAATATCTAGAAAAATTTCGTCTTTCTTTAATAATTTTGATTGTTTGGAATGTCTGTCGACCGTGTCCCAATAATTTGTTCGGAATATCGATTCCCGTTAGTTTCTCTATACTGAGTTTAGAACGGGCGTTGGTCCTAGACAGGACAAACATTGACCGTAATTCGTGGTGATCATGTCCCGTATTTTTGGGGGGACTGAAAACCCAAATAATTAAACAAGTATTATTATTATATATATATTATTTTACATCGCGAAACTACAACAGTTAAACCGCCGCCTTGACGTCGATGCAACTTCAACTTGCCATTCAGTTTCTTACCTTGAAATAAAAAAAATATATAAATTCGAAG